AGAGAGAGAGAGAGAGAGAGAGAGAGAGAGAGAGAGAGGACCTTTTACATTGTATATCTCTTAACAAAACAGGCGTCTTATTGAACATCCAAATGGCCTTTTGTCGCTAGATAGATACTCACTTGCACTGCTTGAAACAATTCCGTGCCATTTATTTTATTGCCCACGACGTAGTCTATACTGATTGTCTGATTTATCACATGGTCACCATCGTAGAGCTGATCCGCCACTGCTTTAGCGGAGACGGTGTACGTGGATTGCCAGTCAGAGTTGAGAAAACTTAAACTGCATGCAGGTTGTTCCCTACTGTCTTTCGTTATGAGGAAGGACACTTGTGGCACCGAGGTTGCTGAGGAAATGTAAAGTAATCGAAAGGTTTCACTTTTTGAGGACACTCGTATTGGACGTTTGTTTTAGTAGAGGTTTTATGGCGCTCGCAACTACATAAGGTCATAATATGAGCGCCATATTGAACGTTTGAAGACGCGTTTTTATGGCTCTCGCAACTGCATAAGGTCATGATATGAGCGCCATATTGAACGTTTGAAGACGCGCTGTTTTGGAGTACTTAAAAGTTAAAATATAAATAAGCATACCATCGTTATTCATACAAATAGCTCAATTAAGTTTTCTTAATCTGAGACTAAGAAGGCAGGCAACATACAGCATGCACATTATGAAATATTCAAATTTACTGTTCTAACTTGTGTATGTTGGTTCCAACTGTGCTGCATTATTGCCTTTGGTCCTGTGCTGATCGAGCATGTGTCTCCGTTACGATCTAAAAGAATCAGCTGTTCGTGGTTATCATTATATACACATACACTTTTGTAGCTGTTCTAGATCACAATTAGCGGCATATTATTACAACATACATTTAAAGCATAACATCACATTGCAATCAAAAGCCGAAATCTGTTGTGGAATACGTAATATTATAGCAACCATAAAATCGTTCATCAATTCTGTTGCCTCGTTGTAACGCCCCATCGCCACCCCACTCTCATTTATACAATTATTATAGCTTAAACTTTATGATGACCATCCTTACGACAACGACAACAACAACAACAATGACAACAATAACAACAACAATAACAACAACAAAAACAGGAAAAAAAACCAATCCACATCTCGCAAAACGTTCTGCTTATTTTGACCCCCCCCCCCACCCAACCCCCCCCCAAAAAAAAAACCCCCCACAACAACAACAAAACAACAACCCAACAACAACAACAACAACGACTACAAAAAAAAGACAACTGGTCACTTTCCTTAAGCAGAAGAATGAATATCATTTACCATTTGGACACAAAGGGTCAGATCCGATATTCACAGTCGACAGTTTTATGTCGATTTGGCAGTCGTCTGTGTCTGCTTCAATCTTCCCCCGGCAGAGAACGTAAGGAGGTGCGGTGGCTCTCACTGTCACAGGGTCTCCAATCTCACTTTCACGAATGACCAGATCTTTCACATTCTCCACCTGAAAGGCATAATTTTAACCAGACATCTCTAAAAGTATACCAACATTTAACTTATTATGTGCAAGACTTGTAGAGAAACGGTTGGCGCTCATATGACCTTAAGCAGTTGCGAGCGCCGTAAAACCCTCTACTATTAAAAAAAATACTAAAAAAGAGAAAAGGTGGTGCTAAAGAGAGGCAATAGCTTGTGTAAGGTCAAAGAGGTTATAAATTAATAGTACAATTTATAACCTCATCGTGTAAGATACTGCTGTGACAACAGCATCAATTGCAATAACAGCTACAATTACAAGAGTAGGGTCAACAACAGCAACGGTTACAATAGCAGCAGCAACAGCAGTAGCAACAGCACCCGCAATAATAACAAAGATGTAGAATGCCAAAGAAATGCATTTCAAGGCCAACGTACTTGGTGGAGGATTATCAATAAATTTAACTGAGGGTGACCACTTTCATGACATATCTGGAGAAGTAAAGAGACTTGAAAAATGCTGCCCCCCCCCCCCAATTCTCTCACTTGTGCATGTCTGACAGAGAAAAGATTAAAAACCCTCCTCATGTTCAGATGGCAAATTAAATTAATTGTGAACGAACCTTAATTTCAACTCGGTACACTGTTGATGTAGTGAGCGGGCCTCGAGTATCCTCGCACCTGTGGGCTTCACAAACACTGACAGCGCACTGCAACTGTAATGAGAAATAATGTGACATTGATGATGGAAATGATTTGTAGATTCTTGTACACTCATACACTCACACATTCTTCAATAGTTTAAATGCAGTTAAAGTAAACCCAAGAAAGTTGTGATAGTGTGATGATTTTCCACCAAAGATGTAAAGAAAGGTAATGTTTAAGACAGAGACACACAACTAATCAATACTAAAATGAAGATTGACTTTACCTGCTCTAGTACAAGGTGTCACAAAAAACCGAACCCTTCTTTTTCCAATAACTGTCGAAGAAGCTTTTATGCACGACATTCACAAAGTGGCAGGTCATTAGCAACGCCTATAATATAATTTGTACATTAATAACTCTCATAATAAAAAAATGAAGCAAAAATTATAGAGAAAAATAAATCTATATCAAAATTTGTTATAAGCAACGACTTTAATGAGACGGAAACAAAATTTGCGCCAAACTCGTATCCCTGCAAAGCAAAACACAATAAACAAAATTTACATACTGTGGTGCCATATCGTAGTTCATTAAACTCTTCGGGAAGATAGGTTGAATTTGGCCGAGTACTTTCATATATCCAGGTACCGTCAACAGCCCACAGAACATCATACTGCAGGCCCGAAGACCCTTCAGATATCAAAGGGAAGTCACATCGGAACTCATCATTTCCTGGTCCTGCAAAGTTAGCTACAACTGACGCCATAGTGACAGCATTTGAGGACCCTGACGAGTCGGAATCTGTTAGAGAAAGAAAAAACAAGATTCGAACTTTAACATGAGCGTTCTCAAAGATCAGCACTTTTCTTTTCAAAATTTCAAGGATCCATAAAAAAATTTTTTCATTTGATAATAACAAAAAATGTCAACGCATTGGCATAAAGTTGGTCCGAATGCTGCTGAGGCAGAAATTTATCTAAACAGGGAGTGCCCCCCC